GTGCGTGCGTGCGTGCGTGCGTGCGTGCGTGCGTGCGTGCGTGCGTGTGTGTGTGTGTGTGTGTGTGTGTGTCATTGCGTGAAGCCGACACGGGCGAGCACTATTATGTTGTTTTGACTCACATAAGTTATCGATTTAAGAGAATCGAAAGCTGACAGCGGCGAACAGGAAGAAGACGAAAATTGTGTTGCGTTGTTTTGAATCGGTTCGGTTCGGTTCGGTTCGGTTCGGGAGTTGCGTGAGAACCGTGATCCAAAACTGCTTGTTTTTTCCTATCCTTTCTTTTTTATTTTCTGCAACAAACATATTTTAACATATTCAATTATTCCTTTCCTACATTATTTCCTGCATTACTAAAGCTCTTGGAAGTTCTATACTAGAAACCTTCATTAATTTAACACGCGTCTTGTACGAAAGATATTTCGCTTAGGCCCGCCACTGCACGGGAATAAGAAGCGTTGGGAATAACGTGTCCGCGACCCATGAAATATCGAGGAGAAACGGACACGTACGCGATGGGAAACAACGCGATACGATGCACATCCACGTAAACTGCATTGCTTCGGGACCGTTACAATGAGCATAAGAATACTTGGTTTGAAAAGGTCGCCCGTTCGGACTTCAGACATCGACCAATGGAAACAACATTCTTCTTCGATTCGTGCAAAGTTACATTCCGCGGGAAACAAAACAATTTAATGGGTGTCTCGAAGAATGGCTTATGTTAGAAATTTTTCAAAGTCATTTTACTCAACCAACTATGATATATTCTGTTGTTTTTAATAATCGTCAATGGTCGGCGTGAAGATAATATGTAAAGATAAATATGTAAAGTGTAAGGTAAAATTGGAGAAGGTCCCTGTGCTGTACCGGGTGGTCGGAAGATCGCTAGTCGATCATAGTAACACTAAACTAATTCTTATATTCAATATATAATGAATTATATACAATTATTTTATGCAATATGCAATTCAGTTACACGTAAAATGTTGTTGCATTTAAATGAAAAAAGTGTTTTTAAGACTGGTCTCACCACAGTAGAAGTATAGTTATAAATGAACGTCGAAAAGTCGGAAATTTAGCCACACTATTTAAGATGAATAAAATATTTTTTTTTTAATATTGTACACATATACACTAAATATAAAACAAATATTAAATGAACATGAATTAAATGTGCTTAGAATGTACATGAAATATTTAAAACAATTCAAAATATATAATAGAAACAAGATGTATGAAATGTAAGTTTAATATTCGCACAAGTAGCACAAAATATTTAATAAATATTTTTTTCAAATATTAAAGGAATATATTTTTAGACACACTGTTTAAGTTCATGAATAAAATATTTTTATCGTTAGGTTCAAAACACGAATCCTAAACATTATAACAACAACAGTGCATGTCACTTAGAGAGGGAGGTAGATGAAACTTGATTGCAGTTTAATTAATACAGTTTTTATTTTAACTCTCTAAGGTGCAACATTTCACTGGTAGGTTCAAAACATGAATCCTAAACATTATGCCAACAACAGTCCACGTCTCTTAGAGAGGGAGGTAGATGAAACATGATTGCAGTTTAATTATTAGAGCTGCTATTTTAACTAAGGTGCAACATTTCACTGTTAGGTTTAAGAGACGAATCCTAAACGCTATCTCAACAACAGTCCATGTCACTTAGGGAGGGAGGTAGATGAAACGTGATTGCAGTTTAATTATTAGAGCTGCTATTTTCACACTCCAAGGTGCAACATTTCACTGTTAGGTTTAAAACATGAATCCTAAATATTATGCTAAAAACAGTTGATGTCACTTAGAGAGGGTGATAGATGAAACTTGATTACAGTTTAATTATTAGAGCTGCTATTTTCACACTCCAAGGTGCAAAATTTCAGTGATAAATTCAAAACGAATCCTAAACGTTTTCTAAGAATATTTACTAAAGTGCCGCCAAAAAAGATAATAATTGAATCTTTTAAGAGTGTTAAAAGGAAATATATCAATTGTTATCATTTTTCAGCAAACTTTTTCCAATAAAAAGCCTACTTTGCACGATGATTTCATTCCAATTTTTAGTTCACATTCAATTTTTTCGATACTACATTTCTACAATTCGTGGGAATGGAAATTTGAAAATTGATCGACCGATCGTTTTTTAAATTTCCATTCCCACGAATTGTAGAAATGTAGTATCGAAAAAATAAACAAGATATCTCAAAGATCTCTCTGCGAAATGATTCCTAAAAATTACCAAATGTACTTTAAAACATACCTAAACTACTCTCAAAGTTAAACAAAAATCAAGAAAACTTTCTCTTCAAAAAAAAAATCACGAAAAACACTTAACACGTTCGTCGCCACGTCACCCAGAAACGGATGACAGAACTTTCTATTAAGGAACTACAAAAATAAATTTCAAAGGTCAGACAATAATAAAAATAAATCTGAACAGGTTTCGTGAATTTGCCGACGTTAAAAAATTAAATGCTACGAGAGATGTTAAATTATCTAATGTACAATAGTCTAGACAAAATTTTAAGTATATAGAAATTTTCACGAGTTTCAACTTGGCAGGCAACGTGTTAACACTTGGTCTCCTGATATGACTTACCCTTAATTATTAATTTCAATTAATTTCGACAAATGAATTTTCACGCATCCGAAGAAGCGGAAGTATAATCCTCCTCGAGTATAATCCTTCCGGAGAGATCAAGCAGAGCATTCGGTATACAGAAGTCGACGTAATAAATGGACGTTCAATGTGCGTGCTCGAGAACTATGAAAGACAATCTGGAAAACCGCGGGGCGTGATAACGTAACAATGTGTAGTTTTCTCACACGTCTATCCAGCACCGATAACGAATAATTATCGGGTCGTAAATTAATCCGTCTCCGTTTTCGCTATTGCTATTTGTGCTATTAGATTCACACGCACTGATGTACTCTATGTGTATGAGCGGAACACTTCATCCTCGGTTTTCTTCTTTTTCCTACGTAACACGCAAATAGATCGACGGAGTTGAATGTGTAAATAAATGAACACTTTTGCAACGGTATTGCACATCGAAAACGCGATTGTTCTCTTATCAGCTAGGAGTCTGCCACATTTCCACGTAAATGCTAACAGGTTTAGACGGGAGTTACTTAGAAATCATGTCAGATGGAATGCGGGAATAATGTAAACGAAGAATGAAACTCGCAATGTATCCGGGTAAATTTTTAGTGAAATGCGAAGGAGAAGTAATTATTAATAATTATTTTTAATGCAGTTATTTGAAGATTAAAAAAAGTACCAATTTATTTTACGTAACAGCGTAGCTCGTATAATGAATTATTTTTATCGGAACGAATATTAGAAATAGCTATTGGAAATAATGCAGTTCGATACAGTTATTCGAAAAATAAAAATAGCACAGATTCGTTTGAGATAATAGCTATCTGAAATAATGAATTTTAGTTGAAATGAAAGTATGAAATAATTCTTATAAGAATTTATTTCACTACAGTTATTCGAAAAATAAAAATAGCATCGATTCATTTGAAATAATACCTATTTGATATAATAATGAATTATTTTAATTGAAACGAAAATAAGAAGTAATTCTTACAAGAATTTATTTCTGTACAGTTATTCGAAAAATAAAAATAATATCAATTAATTTGAAGTAACTGTTACTGGCACTTCAAATAATTAATTATTTTTAGTAAAATTAATTTAATTTACTAAAATTAATCTTAGTAAAATTTTTAGAAAAAAAAAGAGTAATAATTGAGAAATAATTGACTTCGAATCGTTATTTTCAACGCAGTTATTCGCAAACAAAAATATTACCAATTAATTGAAAGTAATAGGCAATTCATACATTATACATATATATGTATATATTAATTGTCATGCATTGGTACGTAGTAATATTCTTTAGAATAATAATTCAATTAGAATTAATTTTTAACCGACTTCGAAAAGGAGGAGGTTACTCAATTCGACATGTATATTTTTTTCTTAATAATGTATTAATGTCATATATTTATTATGTGTATGTGTATATACATAGGTATATCCAATATGTGTATATAAGTGTGTGCGTGCGTGCGTGCGTGCGTGTGTTTCACACCTCCCGAACCACCTATTTCAAGGTGTTACAACATTTTCGGGACACCCTGTATATGCAGAGTGGAGGCGAGTTGAAACAACTTTTTCCTTAGCGAAAATGTTGTCCGAGGCTTCGTTGAAGAGATATTAACGGAAAACACTGACCAATCAGAGCGCACGGATACCGTTGGAGCGGCCGCGGTAGCGTATGAGCGCAGCCGCCTAGCGCACAGTCTACGCCTACCGCGGCCGCTCCAACGGTATCCGTGCGCTCTGATTGGTCAGTGTTTTCCGTTAATATCTCCTCAACGAAGCTTCGGACAACATTTTTCGCTAAGGAAAAAGTTGTTTCAAATCACCTCCCGAACCACCCCTTTTAAGGTGTTACAACATGTTTGGGACACCTTGCATATGTTTTGGTATTTCGTAATAACGAAAATTAAATTAATTATTATTCTAAAGAATATTACTACGTACCAATACATAATTTTGTTGTATTGCATCTGCCTTTGGATTTCTTTAACTTCCCCCTCCCCTCCCCTCCCCTCCCCTCTCCTCTTCCAGCCCCCACCTCATCCCCTCCAGGTTCTTTTGATTTCTCCATTGTCCATTTTAATTTGGCTGTAACAATTTCTCGCAAGATATTCTCATGGCTCGTTACTCCCAACGTTACTTCGACAAGTAATAAATAGTAAACGATCGTAGCGTATTAGAAACGATTCCCGTTGTTTCGATCAATAACGTAACGCGAGACGAACGAACGTGCATTCGATACCGCGCCTGGTGTTTCTTGTACCCGATAAACGTTATACGCGATGCGCCGCAAGAAAAGAACTCGTTGTAACAGTATAGATGTCGGCGTGGCACCTCGTGTAATCGCCTCGTTCGTACGCGCTCACTGTCCGCGTGTTATGCAAGTATCGATAATGAACGGAATACGTGTTATACCCGACGTGATTACTAACCAGCGCCGAGGAATCGCGGTACAGTTGGAGCAAAACGTATTTAGATACGCCTTGACATCCATTTAAAAGCATCGATGTGTTCTCCACCTGCGTCATCGGATGCGAATTTCTGAAGAGTCGATGACTCAGTAAACGTGCCATTTAATAGCACCGGTTTTTATGTCGCTAGGAAGCTGACGATATGCATTATCGTTCTTTTTTAGACTAGATCTCACGGCGGTGATTTCATCGTAATTCATAAATTGAGGGGATTGCCATTTTTTAACGTCGTGCGTTGGTTGATCGATGTACGATGTTACGTTATTACGAAAATTGAATTCATTCTAATTAAAGATGTAAGACAACAAAATATAATAGATATGTGAGATTAATATATTCTTAAGAAACTTAAATTAATAATTATTCTAAAGTATATTATTACATACCAATACGTAATATTTAATATATGCATATAGTATATATATACATTTTTTAAACTATAATTTATAATTAAAAATATTAATAAATAATTTTAATTTACAATTATAACTATTAATATATAGGCTACACCTATGTATATACATATTATAATTTATGATAAATATATGAGATTAATATATTCTTAAGAAACTTAAATTAATAATTATTCTAAAGTATATTATTACATACCAATGCACAATAAAATTACTATGCAAAAATAACTTCACTGTGCTTCCAAAATTACACAAGATTTGAGTATTCGTTATCGACAACTATTAAAAAAAGAAAAATATCAGCTCACGAATGTCA